TCAATTTTTACGATCACTAAGTTCAGCTCAATTACAGAGTTTATTAAGTTTAATATCCACTTTTATTTTACAATTTTAGTTTCATCATTTATGCCTCATCTTACAAGATGTATATGTACGCGTTCTGTGTCAAAGCGGCGATGGGGCGGTAGCAACAGCAGCAGAATCAACTGCAGCAGCGATGGTATCGCATTCCAAACGAAACTCCAGACACTTTAGCCGACGCTGTCGCGTGTCTCGGGACGGCGAGCGTTATTTTTCTCCCATCCATGTTTACACACGCTCCCGTGCAAACACCTTGCATATCGCTCCGCGTGGCGATTGGTATGCGACTGGGAAGGTCGACACTCGAGATCTGAGCGTACGCTGCAAACGATAAATATCTGCGCGACCAACTTCAAATTGGCCATTAGATGGATCCTTTCCAATCGCGACACACTGGATCGCGAAGTTGGCGCGCTGTGCAATAAAAAAAATATAATGATAGTAGCACTCTTTTTTTTTTAGTTCTATGGTTCCTTGTCAAAATAAAAAAAATTTCAACAATGTAGAAGACATCGCTTGGAAAAGAAGTGTTGTGCTAATAATTTTAATTATTATATTATAATTCCTGCGATATTTCTCGTTAATTTTAGCTCTCAAAATTCTATGCTCTACATTTTAATAGAGAGTTGCGGCTACTTTTTCAATTTTGGTTTTTTTATACTAAAAATAATATTTTTACAGTACAAAAAATGCGGAAGTCTTTTTTATTTTTAAAAAGAACTGTACAACTCTAATGAAAAGCGCTACTGGAACTGTCAATTTTTTTTTATTAATTTAACGAACTGGAAGTTATCTGCACTGCCTGACAGTGCAAAGAACGGTGGAATAATTCTCGTGGCATGGCGCGGTCGCCGGCACCGATTCATTGAGAGATTTTTCTTAGCCGAGCTGAAATCCTTGAAAACGAGAACGATTACGAAAATAAAAGACTCGCGGACGTACGTCGCGACGTGAAATAATACGTCTGTCTCTCTCCCTCTTCCTCTCTATCTCGGATATAGAGAAATGAGGACACTTAAGAGTCGCGGCAAGCTGCAGTCAATTCCGTAATTGCTTCTTTATCGTGATCTTCAGAGAACCGACAGAATTGCTTTATTACAGGGCTGTCGGTCTGCTTCCAATTTTCCGAGCCACATACGCCGCTCGCCGCGCGTCTCTGCGTGGCCCACATTTAGTGACTGCGTTTATTGTATCGCGCGCGCGCGCGCGCGCGCGGGACGCACCTCGCGATTCTCGCTAACTCGTCCGCTCGTTTCCTCCCCGTGGCATTTATCTTCATGATTTATCCCTCCCCCCCTAGCGACGCGATCGTCGAATCGAGAAGCGCCAACATCGAGAATTCCGACAGCAAATGACGGATTTAATGCGCTCGCTGTACCTATTAAATTAAATTGTCCATTTCCGTACGCTTGAAACTCGCGAAATCTCCTCGTTAAATCACTTGGAACCTCGAAACACAATCTCTCGATGCGTCGTAAGTACCTCGATGCATCAAAAGAAAGCGAGTAGATCTGCTTTTTGTTGCTGTCTCTGAACTACACTAAAACTTTTCCATTTTGTTTTGGTCAAACTTCAAATAGATATATAATCTATTTTTTATTTATTTTTTTATGCATCTATTTGTATTTTAAGTACATATTGAAAACAATGTTTTGTTGCATTAATTGAAATTTAGGTACAATAGATTCAATCAGAAAGGTGCTAGTCAAAACATTTAAATGTATTCCAGTTGAGATAATCAGAAATTCAATTATGATTCATATGATCAGAATTCGTTTTGTAATTTGTTTGTACTTCTTGTTAATCAACCAGAATATTTTTCTCAGTGTGATAGATTCAGAAACGTACATGCAAATCAGACACTTTAAAGCCTGCGGCATACAATGCGTTCTTTCCTGTTTGCGTTTTAATAGATTATTAGAAATTCTTTGTTGTGTATGATATAATTGTAATAATTTAATTATAAAACGTAAGAAATCCAGCAGGAAAATGCATTATATGGCCGCAACCTTTACAATTAATCTATCAAACATTCTAGTCGAGATAATCAGAAATTCAATTACGATAACTAGAACTCTGATTACGAGTAGAACTTTTTGTTTGTACTTCTTGTTGATATAATCAAAACATTTTGTTCAATGCAACAAGTGTACTCTATATAGTTCAGCCACAAAGAACAGACCTCTCTCTCCTCGCGATCCCTTAAATATCCAGAGGATTTTCAGTAACGACAGTCAGTCGCCTCTCGAGACACCCTGTATATCCGGCGTATCTACCTCGCGGTTGATTTCGCGCTTCTGGTCCGCGATGCGATAACTCGATGGGGGAATAAAACGCACAATGCGACGGCGGCAGTCAGAAACTGCTGAAAGACCGCAGACGATCGCAGATAAACATGAAAATTCGACGGTGACGACGACGACGACGACGGTGGCAACGGCGGGCGACGCGACAGGCGTCCTTGCTCCAACCACTCGCGCTACTACCGATGACGTAATCGTCGCGATACCCCGCAATCTTGGCGCCGCGGTAAACTCGTAATATCTATTTTTATCTGTGGTGGAAGCAAGGGGCTCCCCGATTCCCCGCCGCCGTCGCCCGCCTGCGTCTCATCTTTCTCTTTCCCGTGCGTGACGCTGCTCTACGCACACACATGTCAGCTCGTCGTAGAGCCGTGAGAAGAGAGAGCCAGGCCTCGAGATGTCCGAGCGGGACCTCGGAAATCGAACGATGTTTATTGCGGTCGCGATAAGGTGTTTTCGGTCGCATCGCGCATTTTCGTGCCATAGCTTACGATCTGATGAATTTCTGAATCTTCTTGTTGTTCTTTTGGCTTCCGGGACTCTGCTACACTCGTCGATCGCGTTACCGATCATCGGCAAGAAATCGCAAATGTAGGAGATCATCTTCAACGGCTGCGCGCTAGGTGACGCAAAATTGTTCGGAATTACGTCGCGGAGCGGAAGAGTGTAGAAAAAGAGTAAACAAAGGATTTTAACATATTTAATTGATGTTATTTTTTGTATATTTGCATGAATAGAATTATCATCTAGATTTATTTATTAAAAACTCTTCAAAAAGTTTATTTTTATTTATTAATATGATAAAAATGATAATAAAAAATGATAAAAATAATTCAAATTGGATATAATTCGATTATGAATTTAAAATTAATCGTCTAACATTCTACACAAGAAATTGTATTACTCAACGTGAATTGAAAATTATTTCACATGTTTATTATTTAAAATAATTATAACAAAAGCTTTCATTGACATCATAATTTGTAATGGCTTTTTCATTCTGAACTTAAAATGAATCTTAATTTATATTTTATTTATATTTTATAATATTATATGTTATTAAATATAAAATAAATAATGATAAATGTCAAATTGATGAAAGTAAAGATTAAAATAATATTTAATATCGAATCAATAAAAATATAGGGAAAAATTATTATTATATTAATATTAAATGATCCTCCATAATATTAAATATTAAATCGATAAGAATAATATTAAGACTGTGTATAACACGACGTGCTAAGACGTTAACACCGATGACCGTGTTAACATTAATCCGTGACTGTCTCGTGTCATTGTATTCTGGGCTCGAAACAAATCGGCACTCGATGTTGCACCATCGTACGGTGCGTCTTGTGTCTTCCTCCGTCTCCGAATTCTTATTTCACTCGGCCGCTACGTCCGGCCTGCGGGATCCTGGCGCCGATCCCAGGCGGCGGTGACGCCGCCGGAGACGCTGTAACGATGAAAAGCGTGGGAGATTTGCCGGCGTTTCTTTGTAACCTCGGTTTCTCCCGGCATAAACCTCTTTACCGGAAAGGACCATTCGTTAACAAAGAATCCCGAAAGAGAAGCGTCTCGTCGGGCCGACATCCGGTAGATAAAATGTTTGGAAAATCATGCGTTTCGAATATTATTTTTGACACGATTAGACGAAAGACAACAATGCTCTAACCTTTTACGGTCATATAAGTGTATAATCCGAGTTATGCTCGATAAAGCATTTTTACTGATTGTTAAGTGGGTCATGTTTCATACCTGAAATGTGCAGCGATTATTATTTACAGACATAACAGGGCAGATAAGAAAAATAGTTTTTGAATAGTAGCGATGAGAAATAGATTTAATCTTTTTTTCTGAATTGACAATAATAGCGGAAGTCTCGGTATTATTCTTCTTGACTGGAGCTAGACAGAAGAGAAAGACTTAGAAGTATCCTGTGCTGTATCTTGCTTCTGCCTGCGACTGTGTTTCGATTACATCGCCAGAACTGAAAATCTATACGTAACGTATTGTAGATTTTTAGTATTGACGCTGTATATCGGAAATTTGGAACATGACTTATTATAACAAATTTGGTTGGACTCATCCAGTACATTCTGGTGTACATTAAAACTATCATACATAGCTTGATGCGTGTTTAATTAAATATAGAATATTTGATTGAGTTTTGGTTAAAAATCCACGAAATCTTCAATACATATTATTGTGCTGTTATTATTTTATATAATTCGAATATTTATATTTTATTTTTATACTCAGGTTAAATCACCGTCATGCAAAAGCAGCTTAACAAAAGGCTTTTGAAAGATCATTACATTCTACCATAAAATATATAGAAAAATTCTTAGATCTTCTTTTTACATTTTTTTTTTTTAGCATATTATGCATTCATACTATTTCGCATTTATTTATCACAATTCGATCGTATTTTAGAAGAAGAAATTTAATATACTTGATACAATTGCACCAATAACGACTTTTTAATTCAATAAATGACAAGCAGGTGTGTGACAAAAAAAATATAAGTAGTGCAAAAAAAAATACTGAATGTAAACGATGTACGGTCATTGATTGATGACAAACAATAGCAACACTTATGATATTTTAGATCAATTTTAAATGTCCCTTTTTTTTTATTATTTATAGGTGAGACAGGACAGAGGGAATGGTGCACCTTGGCGTATTGGGAATTGGGCAGCCGAGTTGGTCGTTTGTATCCCGTGGAACCATCGACAGTGAACGTCTTCGACTCTCTTCATGATGGCGACGGTCTCTGTTTAGCGACTCTGGTTGAAAATCACAATGCTCCGCCCGCGGTCCAGCGTACGCGCAGCAAAATCGGCCTTGGTAAGTCCAATCTCAGAAATTCTTTTTCAAGACTTGGTTTATTTTACTCTATCATATTCTTCATAATCCCATCTAAAGAATTTAGAGAGTATATGAAACACTTTTAATTCTTCATTGTACAACTTATATTTAAAATAAAAAATATTTTTAAAGAGAATAATGTATATTCACTTGATAGTAATTCCTAAAGATTTCAATATATAGATAGATAAGAAAAATTCCATTTTTTTGTCGTAGGGCTAACGCTCAGTCAGGAAGCGGACGGTGTATGGGCGTACAATCGGTCGGAGAGCCCAATCTTCGTGAACTCGCCCACCCTGGACGATCCGGAATCGAGGACGTTACTAGTTTACCGGGTGCCACCGGGTTTCTGTCTCAACATCTTTGACAGCGCCAAGATCATGCAGCTTCCATACGGCAGCGGCGGTGGTCAGGCCGCTGGTTTTACCGCCTCCGGCCCCATCGACATTTACTCCGTCCGCATCAGCTTTGCCAAAGGCTGGGGACCCAAGTATTCGCGACAGGAAGTCACTTCCTGTCCGTGTTGGCTCGAGGTGCTCCTGGCGCCGTGTAGGTGATCATCCCCAAGACTGGCCAGGCCGAAGAGTATCATCAAGTCCCGTTTTCAATTCGCGCCTCTTGCTCCTCCTCGTCGTCATCGTCGTCGTCGTTGTTCTTGGAGAGGATCGGTGATAATGATGCGGCGACCGTGGCCTTTAGCTCCGTCCTAGCGAGAGCTGTGTTAATAATAAATAAAAAGAACACGTGTGTGTGCGCCGGGGGCGATCCTCAGTGGCACGTGCCGGGGTCGTCCCAACAACCCCAGCAGTCTTACCAAAGTACACGCCGTTAAAATAATACGTTTAGGAACAACGTCACGTTTCACTTTCGTTAATAGAATGAGAGACGGGAATAAACGAGATCGTTCGCGAGCGTGTTCATCGAGCGCGTATGAACGGAGAGATTCACATCGAGACTTATACGAATGGGACTTAGGATCATTATGATGCGTGCGTTTGATTCGTAGTTCTTTTTTAATTTTATTCTCTGATCGCTTAGGCGTCGATGCTATTCTCGAGATTCGTGTGAGAATTTCCGACAGAGGAAGCGCAGAGAGTCGGGCTTCCGATAGGTCTAGTCACTTGCGTTTATGGTCTACGCGCGCTAGCTCGCGAATCGCGCGCGTGGATTCTGAATTCAACATGGCAGGGAAAATTCTTAGTCTCGTAAAGATGAAGCATGAAGCAAAGAGTAACATCGACGAAACAGAGAGGATAAACAATACATAGATAGAGAGTATCTTTCATGATCGCTCTTTGAAAAATATTTTTTGGATAATCGCTTTTGTCAGTTGTTTAAAAAAATTCAGAGAACAGCAGATTTATTGGCATTTAATAATAAACAAAGAAGATAGTTATCCAATACACATAGTACAGAAAATAATTGAACATCCAGCTGTTCTTTGATAATTTTTGATAAGTTAAAAAGAAACTTATCATGAATTTTTTTGTATATAAACTCGTTACATTTCGTAGAACTTATGTTATTGACAAAAAAGATTAATTAATTAATTAATTAAACGTAAAGTTTTAGAATTTTGTGAAAAAATAATCATGCTATATTAATCATATTTGATATATATATATAT